CACCCAAGGGCACTCGTAGCAATTCGGCGCAGTGGTCAACATGTCGAGATTACACGCTGAAAGGTCATGGTTCGAGTCCCGCTAGGGGCCAGTTCGAGAGTACAGTCCACTCATATGATTATGGGAAAAATGCAACTTGAACAAAATTGAGTATATCACATCTTTTGGTAGCCTCGACAAATTCACATAATGCAACGAACAAACCACATCAATTCTGTCGTTCACCTTCTTTTCTTTAAGCCAGATGAATTTTGCTGGTTTATGTGCTGACTATCGGTTTCAGTTATTCTCATTCTTGGTGTATTTTTAACAAACCATATGCAAATGAGGCTCGTGCCTCCTCTCATAAAAGTGAATTCATTGTCCCTTTGTCCATTTCACCGTTGGCATTCATTTGCTTAAGAATTTCTTGCAACGCTCCTTCACTTTCAACTGTCGGGTTCTTTGTCAGCAGCAGATAAGAATATTTTCCATTTTCTCTGAATAATCATGTTATGCTCACTACTCGAAGGAGACTGCGAGTAGTAAAGCCAAATGACAGAAGGACAAGAGGAATGTGCCACCGCCCTCGGATGGGCCCCACCTTCGGATCTATTCAACAAACTCTTTCGCTCCGGATAGAAAGTGAGCTCAACAATTTGAGTCAAGCCATCGCAAATGTCGGAGTTCGGCGGTAAAATAAATGATCTTCGTCTGTTTCACAAGTTTTCTTCGACCAAGTCTCTAACCTATTCGGGGACAGGAAAAAAGTAAACTGCAAATGTATAGAAAGAATAGTTTTCTGAATTAGTGTGTTTTCAAATAAGACACTAAAGAAGACCAAGATTCCAGTCAGTCAACTTTAAGTTTGGGAACAAAAGTGGATCATGATGAAAGCGAAACTGTCAAGATATTGTCGACAGACTAGCGTTACAAAGAAATAAATAATGAAATGTCTTAAGACACAAGAAAGTTCTGTCATAACTTTCGGTTAAGATGAGTTGCTCTTAAGTGGATACAATTATCAGTCGCTTTTGTACAATTCTCGGCAACCGTAGGCATCGATGAATGAGTTAAGGCACACAAATTTTCGCCAGTTTCTGCATCCAACTACTCGATAGGCTCCAGCACACATCATTCATGTCAAAGGAACAGACGTAGAATGTGGAAATGCCTCATGATGCCGTGATCCTCTGCGATGCCTCAGAAAGCATACTGTCAAGGACTGGGACATCACCACTGTCGAAATTGTGGCTGAAAAAGAGGCGGGAAAGTAAAATGCTTTTCATCAGTGCCAAGACAAATTGGGCAAAGGACCAATTTTTATTCAACTTTACTTGACTCAGAAGTCGGTTGACCTCGTTGTCGCAACTTGGTCTTGTTGTCATGGCGACTTAGTAGATCGAACCTAGTCCGAAGATGTAGTTGCCATCATTCCCAGCATCAGACAGTGGACTTGGTACATTCTCAAAACGTTTCGCCGACATCAACAGTTATTTTTGCCATTCTACACAACAACCTATGAACTCGTCAAAGAGACAAGAGGGATTGACTTGACTTGTCTCTTTTGACGAGTTCGTAGTTGGTGCGGAGAATGTCAAGAAGCACTGATGATACCGACTACGATGTCGGCGAAACATTTGAGAATGTACCAAGTCGACTGCCTTAGGCTGGGAATCATGACAACTACTATGGCAGACGACTTCGGAATAGGTGCGTTCTTCTTAGTCGCCTTGACAACAAGACCAAGTTGCGACAACGAGGTGAACCCACTTGTACAACATTGAAAGGAGACTGCGACCATACCAGGGGCCACACCATCTTGATCTTCATAAACTTGACTTAGTTGAGTAGCATATGTTCATCTGTTGAAAAAACATTTTTATCATCCAAGCTACTCACAAACTAATAAAGAATTGCATTCACTTTGGGTAGCATCAGGTTTATAAAGTACTGACAATTGAATTGTCCAACAGTACAAAAAGTAGACCCAACAATGCCATTAATATTCATTTAGTCTTGCCTGCCAGAAGATAATCTCATTTTTGAATTAGAGTAGAGTTTCGAGACAATCAGTAAATCAGTAGTATGAGAGGTATTCACCCTATTTCGTGTAAGGTGATGAAGGACTGGTAGCAAAATATTCCCACAATGAGATGAGTGGAGTTGACGTTTCCGTTTAATTTCACATTGCTTTGCTTTCCCAAAAGTTGTTCTCATCCCGGCTGGAGTGGACTAAAGTTTCGACCTCCGTCACCTTAAGCGAAATTGGGTGAAAACATGTCATATTATTGATTTACTGGTAGTCTCGAAAACCTACTTAAAGACGATAATTATATATAACCAATATTTTTGGTATCTTTTTTAAGAGAGGAAGTTATTAGAAAATATGCCAAATTATAATTAATGAGAAAAAGTAAATATTATCATTTTCTTCGTGTGAAAGTAGAGTTTCGAGACTACCAGTAAATCAGTAGTACGAGATGTATTCACCCTATTTCGTGTAAGGTGATGAAGGACTGGTAGTAGAATTTTCCCACAATCAAATGAGTAAAGCTGACGTTTCCATTCAATTTCACATTTCTTTGCTTTCCCAAAAGTTTCGACCTTTATAACCTTAAACGAAATGGGCTGAAATCATCTCATACTACTGATTTACTGGTAGTTTCGAAACTCTACTCAAATATTAAAAATAACTATTATAATCGATTGTTATAGCAAAAATACGTTTAATTCATCGACAATCCCACCAAAGAACATGATATGGCAAAAAGCCTAGCCTTCCTTGAAATTCACACCTGCCCTGTGACCCAACAGCACTCGTGGCAATGCGGCCGAGTGGTTAACTTGTCGCGGTTCGACTCCCGCTGGGGGTGTTGATGAGACCTCAGCTTGGATGGGAACAAACTTTTGGAAAGTAAGGCTGTGAAATTCAATTTAGGCGTCAGCTCTACTCACATAATTGTGGGAAAATTCTTCCACCAGTCCTTCATCACCTTAAGCGACCTAGAGCGAATGCAGTCCTTGGTCAGGATTCACATGAAAGGAATACAATTACAACTTCGTTTCTGACCGAGAAGGTTGCTTAGTCGAACACCAATTTCTGATGATGCAAAGCTTATTGTGGCATGACTCTCCATTTCGAAGGGAAAGCCGGTTGGAGGGAATGTGTGATGTGGTCTCACTGGAAACCGAAAGTTGATTGCCGCGTATGGTCAGACTGTTGAAGTGTGCCAAGAAGAGATTGGCAACCGACAGGCAAGTTCTTGAGGCGCCTTATAGAGCGCCACATATTTGAATGGAGAGTTGTGCAACATTTCCACGAAAGCAGGGAAAGGGTGCCGGAGGAGATAAATTAGTGTGACTCACCGTGAAAAGATATTCAAAATGGGCACGTCTTCGGTGCGAAAGAGGAAGAGGCGTTGTCGAAAAAGCGTCAGATTTGAGCGCCGAAAACGTCGGAAAGCCTCGTTGTTGGATAAGATGGCCAGGCCAAGAATGAAAATGAGGATTATCAGAAAAAGCGTGCTTGCGGCGATGCCAATCAGCCAAGCATTGTATTTGAGAAATCCTGACAATAGAAACAATAAGAAAAACAATTAAAATAATCATAATAAATCTAGAGAATATGAGCTTTGCCGGAAGGCATTGGGGAAGATGAGATCCAAAGCGGATTTTGCATGTGCCGATGGTCGTTGGAGTATCTTTCATTTCGTTGCAAAAGACAAATGGAAGGATAGTCTCAGACGAAAGTGTATGGGGATTGTGTGGGAGCTGTGATTATAGATTTGTGCCAATCTTTGTCGGGTTGCCGAACGACAAAGTACTTGTCCATATGCCCAATTAATAACTCTGGAACTGCGATTGCATTTTTTGAAGAACACGAGCCTCCAATTGAGTCAGGCAGTTGTTAACTAAAATGGTGGCAAGCAAGATCCCGTGGCTAAACCACATGCTTGCTCATACAACTTGGCACTGAAGATGAAATGGGTATTATTCATGGCCAAAGTGAATAATCCACCGATTGAAACTTTGCCCAAATTTTTTACTTGTTAGCATCTGTGAATATGTAGAAAAAAAGAGTTTCGAAGAATCCATTAATAATTAATTGAATAATTAATTGATGTTGGGGCACCTCATTTCGTTTGGAAAGGAGAGTGGAAGAGATTCGTAAATTGGTTCCATTAAAAGCTGTATGGGGATTTCCTTGGAG